ATTTAGATATATTTTTTTATTTTATGACTTCCAGGTTCCTGGGTTCTTCCCCTCAATCACAAAAAAATACTGGAAATGTGCTGAAAAATTCAGTAATCAAAAGATATGGGAACCCTATAAATAATAAAAATGGATCGTCATGGATAGCATGTCAAATCTGGGTTTAGTCATGGATAACTAATCTAGGTTTTTCAGTACAATATAACCATTACTGTATTAGGAAGATACTGAAATTAGATTTTATACCGAAATGAGACTATAAATACTTTCTTCTATAAACCATAATAGTTTCTGCAAAAATATACAGTCCAGTCATGCCAGCAGTTTTCCATGTTCTACATGTCAAACTAGTAAAACCACTTTGCAGCTTGTTAGCCTTTGGTTCAAAATAAATATAAGTGTGAATCACCTATAATGTTTCCTCCTTTGAGAGTTTTTAGACCTTTCTAAATCAAAGTCAAATGCTTCAACCTCATCCAGCAAATATTCCCGTTCACACTCTTTTCTTATATTCAGGTGGACCAATTCATGTCACTTTCCCCTCTGGGCTTACACTTGCCGAGGTGGAGAAGAAGAATCCACTTGTTGTTCGTGGAGGGCGCTATAGGCCGCCAAACTGTGAGGCTCGCCATCGCACTGCAATTATCATTCCCCACAGAAATAGGGAACACCACCTCAAGTTCCTCCTCTACTATCTGCATCCCTTCCTACAGCGTCAGCAGCTCAACTATGGCATCTATGTCATTCACCAGGTGCGTCTGCAGCCTGTTATTGTTGTGATTTTAATTTGGTGATTCAGAAATCACTTGAAATCTTTTTCTGAAAAATATGTGCAGTTTATAAATATTTCTCGCTGGTCAAGGAATTGTATTTTGACTCCCAGTAGACAGTCTCTCAGTGAAATGACAGCAAATGTTGAAAAGTTTGTTCTTCATAATAATATTGCCACCTATAGTAGAGATGACAATGAAAAAATAAAAAAAAAATTTCTAGTTAAGCTGCAATTGGTACATTTTCCAAGAAAAATGGTAAAATACGTTTTTCGTCGAAGGTTTGTATTTTTGTCATTTGATTCGCTCGTGTCAATAAAGGTCAGACTATCATTCTTACATTAAACCCTAGATTAATCCATACATTATGTCTATTTTATTTGGTTGCCAAAGCAAGTTTTATTCTCAGTTGGCACCTTGTGAGTGTTCATTTTAGACCGTGCTCTCACAGTTTCACATTGCACAAAGATGTATTTGTTGCTTGGTTACATATTAAATATGCAGCTCTGTTATAGTACAACTCAACTGTGCCTCCTGCTGTTTGCTGTCAGAGCCAGTTGTAATCACTTTATCCTGTTATAGCTGTCGATCTAGATGCAAACCTGTACAACTCACTCTGACAGGTCAATCGCTGGTAATCATTTGCTCTCCCCTCCAGCTGATCTCTCATTTTAGTGAAAAAAAATGATCCTAATACAACAGTGTGCCAGATTCAGACCTGTTTTCCTGGGCTATATTGTCTGGTTTTTATTATTGTTGGTTTTCTGGGTCAGTACAGTTTTATGTAGGATTATAGATGTACGGCATGATATTTCTGCAGAGTTTTGAGTTGCATTGTTTTTGCTCCGATTAGTTTTTGCTGAATTGTTAAACTCAGTGAGATCCTATTTTTATTTGGTTATATTTTTTTATGCTGTTGTAATTATTCAATAAAAATGATTATACATGATTATACTATTATTCAGCAAGGATTCATTAAATTGATCAAAAGTAAAGTTAACTAGACTGTGTAAAACGGATCATAAAATGTTTTTTATTTTCATTTAGTTTAACTTTATTTACTAAAATAACTAAAGCAAAAACTGAAATAAAAATTATTAAAAAACTAACAAAGACAACTAAATGACTAAAACTTTAAGTAAAATTACAATTAAAATATCAAAAGAAAAAAATCAAAATATTAACAAAAACTACAATTAGCAGTGAAAGTGAAGTTTTGCATTTAACAATTTTTCACACAAATGCTGTTCTACAAAACGATGGATTACCATGAAAAGAAAATCATCTTCTTGCTTATGTTCCTGACTTTGATATTCCCACTTCACGTCAACAGGCCAAGGATTAGACTGTAATCCTTATTAATCTGCTCTCTGAAAATCCTGAACATTATAGATTCAGCCCATTTTTATGAGTATAGATGTATATACAGGCTGCACGGCTGAGTTTGTATGCTTTGTTTTATCAGTATTTGTGTAACTGGATTTATATGGACTCATTTGTTTTTTTACAGACACTAAATAGTAGCTTAAACATGTGCGCTCAGTTCTTACCATTATGAATAGTTCAATAACAATACCGGTCTGTGTGTGAAGGCTGGTAATTACACCTTTAACCGAGCAAAGCTGATGAACGTGGGATTTCGTGAAGCCATGAGGGACGAGGACTGGGACTGCCTCTTCTTTCATGACGTGGACCTCATTCCAGAGGACGACCGCAACACCTATGTCTGCGACACTCATCCCAAGCACGCTGCCATTGCCATGGACAAATTTGGCTACAAGTCAGTGTTCTTCACGCTCTCTAGCTGCATTTCATTTGACTTCATGCCTGCATTTCACACCTGCACACAGATTATGCAAATATACATGATTTACTGTCAGAACAATTTACAATCTATGTATTTGTGGAAAAAAAATCTTTGTAAGCTGCATTTTGTGTACACAAAAAATTCAATAGTATTTTAATGGATTAATAGCAAAAATGAATGATAGCGTAAGAAGCTTCCAAGAAAGATTTTTTGGTTGTAATTTTTAAACCACAAAAAGGTGAAATATGTAATAAAAACAAACTTATGTAACAATAAAATGCTTATAGTTGAATAAACACTCATAAAATGAAAACCAATATGTATATGAAGTGACTAAAAGCTTGACGTTTTATATTGTTGTTGTCACTCAGGTTGCCTTATAAGATGTATTTTGGAGGAGTGTCGGCTCTGACCCCTGTTCAGTACCTCAAGATGAACGGTTTCCCAAACAATTACTGGGGCTGGGGTGGTGAGGACGATGACATCGGTGTCCGGTGAGTGAGCACGGGGGATCTTGGGTTTATATTTGCTTTGGAGGGATTGAGTGCATGCATAGATGATTTGTGTGTGTATTAATGGAGGGGTCTGTGTGGGAGGAGATCTGTCTTTGTGATGCAGCTGGCCATGAACCACCTGTCTTTTCCAGCTTCTCTAGTTCAAAGCTAGAGTGTCCACATCTGACAGTGTGTTACCGTCTGCTTTATAGAGGTGGATTGTGTAGTCGAGTCATGGCTCACAAGCTCGGCCACATGCAAAGGATCAAATATATGAAATGTAATATATAGTTATTCTGTCCAAATAAAATGAATTGAAATCCATAGAAATTGTAGTAAATATATATTTAAAGCAAAAAGCTTGTCAAAACAGACTTGAAATTATGTTTAAAAAGCTTTGAATTTGTAGATAATTTAAATGGCACTAGTATAATTTGAATTTAGCTTATATACACTTTGAAAGTGTATATATCTGCAAGAATCTTTTTTATATATATTTTTTAAGTCTTTATTGCTCATCAAAACTGTTTATCAAAACCACAGTAAAACATTATTTCAATTTAAATGACTGTTTTCTCTTTCAGTAAAATGTCAAATTTAATGTATTCTATGATGGCAAAGCTGAATTTTCTGAATCATTACTTAAGTCTTCAGTGTCACATGATCCTTCAGAAATCATTCTGATTTGCTGCTCAAGAAACACCGTTGTGCTGCTTAATTTTTGTGGAAACTGGGATATGAATGTCTTTATCTTCACGTTTCAAATTTTATGCATCCTTGCTAAATAAAAGTATTAATTAAAATAAAAGAAGAAAAGACAGAATTCTTACTGACAACAAACTTTTGAATGGTAGTGCATTTTACCATATTTACTAAATGAACTTTTGTGGACCAGAGTGAAAGAGCGCCCCAGAATGCACGTGTTAAACTTTGTTGTATAAAAATTCAGTAAATTCCTCCTCCTGCAATTCTGATTCAAATTGCAATGCAGCTTCCTGTAAAGTGTCTAATAGAAATAAATTCACACTCATGAATTGAATTGGAACCAGTTTCTCAAATTTCCTATCCTGAGTGTCTCAGTCCACTTTTTTTGCCGCACTGTCTAACTTTCTTCTATCTCCTATCCTATCTTCTCAGGGTCTCACTCGGAGGAATGCTGATCAGTCGTCCGTCTCTAAAAGTGGGCCGATATAAGATGATCAAACACAGGCATGACAAAGGCAACGAAGTGAATCCCAAAAGGTACATTTGCCTTACGACCATCTGATAAATCACTTTCAAACCAAGCAGCTTTCTGTTGCAAAATCTGCATTTGGAAACCTTTTGTCCTAATGAGAAATTCCCAATTTCCTTAAATATTAAATATGAAATTTTTTCTTTAATATGATGACATCATCTCCTAGTACTTCCTCCATTCAAGCGGTTTCCTCTCATCCAGGTTTAACATGTTGGCTAAGACTCGGCATACGTGGAAAGAAGACGGCATGAATACAGTGGAGTATGAGATCGTATCCCGGGATTACCAGCTGCTTTACACCAACATCACGGTCAACATTGGCACCGAGGCAGCCCTGCACCCAACCAAAAAAAAGCCTGCTTCATAGTTGACTCCCAGCATTCTTGTGGATCCCAGAGGCACTAGTCTTAACGTCAATGCCGTACTGCCTGCAGACCACTTCACCCACATGCACATGGCCAGTGAATTCAAGGGACATCATGCCTTTACTGCACCACACACCTTCTGTTTCCTCTGTAACAGCGGTGCCATCTAGTGGTCCCATGATTCTCTGTTCTTTCTCCCTCTCTTTTTCTCCAAAGTTTGACGTTCTGATCCTGTGCTCACTGGTTCACTTTATCAGTCAGGATGCTGCAGAAACTTCATCAACTGGTCCACACACTGACCGCTTTGCAGACTCTGTGACGGGCTACTCTGCTGGAAGGATGTGCTTCCTGACAGACAGACTCTTCATCTATCCTCTGTGCCCATGGGCACCATTTAAAAACCTATGTTGCCTTAGAATCAAGCTGCACTCTCTCCTTACATTTGTTTCATGATGACTGAAGCATAGCTTCGGCTGCCTGTGTTTGATGTGTCGCACTGGGTGAGGCCGAGTCTTAGGGAGGGGTAAAATTTGTTTTCTGCCACGTGATGGAAACAGTGAAGCAGGCCAATGTACTACATAAGCAACATTGTTTGCTGCACAACTCTGTGAGTCTGGTGCATTTCCTGTTCATTAAATTAGTACTTTTGATGTACTGTATGTACTGTATTGTTATACAGGCAGGTGGATTGATATTTTATATATCTTCCATTTCGAGTATTTCAGTCAGAACTGGCCACTTTGGTAGTAATAACCACTTTACATATACAGATGTTCTCCTTTTTTCAGTTTTTTTTATTTTTTATTCCCGAATTGTCGTAATTGCCTTTGGTTGTCTTAGTAATAACGTTGGCTTTTATAATCAGCGTGCTGCCTCTCATTTTCATGAATTACTCAACACATTGTATTTTATCTGCATGATTTTTGTTTTTGTTTATTTTTTTATGATTGGCTGGTTATGTGCAGTTTGCTTTGGATTAACAAATAGGCTTGTTGAATGTAGCTACATCTCCTTTTGGTGAGAAAATGTGACGTCAGTGAACAGCGCATCGTGTTGTGTCCATTTGGTTGACTTCGTGAGAAGTCTTTGTCCCATATTCCCATTTGTTTATTCAAAGAGATTGCATAAAAATGCACTTACCTTATTAACGGAAACCTTTTTTAAAGACCTTCAGCCTCATAAAATCACAAGCGTAAATTGTTCGTAAAACCATTTTTAAGTAAATTGTCCCATTGATTCAAATATGCTAACTTTCGTAAAACCATTTTTACATATTTGCTTTGAATCAAATGCGCTAACATTTGTAAAACCATTCTTATGTAAATTGTTGCATGGTTAAATGAAATGCTAACATTCGTAAAACCATTTTTAGATAAATTGTTAAATTTGAATTGAATGCTCTAATATTTGTAAATTCGTTCTTGTGTAAATTGGAAGTAATGAATCAAATGCGCTATCAATCGTAAACCATTCTTGTTTAAGGTGCTGCGTTAAATTAAATGCGGTAATGCTCACAAACCATTATTGCATTGAATGCGCTAACATCCATAAACATTTTTATGTAAGTTGTTGCTTTCAGTTGAATGTGCTAATATTTGTAAAATCATTCTAAATTGCTGCATTAAATTAATGCGCTACGGTTCATAAACAATAAATTGTTGCATTCAGTCAAATGCGTTAATATTTAAAATCATTCTTGCATGCATTTACTTATAATTGTGTGTGCGAATAATCATAAAACAGTTCCATTCAATGCAACCATTTACATTGGAATGGTTACGAACAATTTACACATTGGTCGTTTTGCTTGCTGTTCATAAATGAGGCCCGTTATTGGTACAGTCTGAAAAAAAAAAAAAAAAAGGTAAATTCTCAAACATTTAAACTTACCCCTCTGACTGACACAGATGACAAAAGAAATTGTTTTTGTATGTTTCAAACATTTCATATTTAAAAATGCAAAAATTCTCATGAATTTGGAGATGGATCTGTGCATGTGTGGATACACATTTGTGATACTAAGAGAAATAGATCATATGTGGTTTTTCGAATGCTGCTGTTCTGTGTGAATGTGAAAGGTGGAGGTGTCGCTCCCCTCTTTACTAGTTTGCATGCTGTTGGGAGCTTGTGATGGGTCCTTTAAAAAAATGGTGTTGGGTCATTGAAGGAAGTCATCGGATGTCATTGAGGCAGAGATACCAAAAATTAATGATTTTTTTAACTAGCATGTTTTATTTTCTTTTTTTTTTTCTTTTTCCTTAGTAGTAGTCTTTTTTTCTGAATTATGAAAGGGTGTATTGAGTAAACACTTTTGATTTGAGTTATTTTGGGACGTAAGGGGCGACTCGAGATCTTTATTCTTCACTTTGAGAATTTATATTTGATAACTATTCACATCACCATCATAGAAGGTACTTAGAAAACTCTGTTGTTCAGCCATGAATGATATAGTTTGATATGTACAGATGACAGGCTGCACACTACTCAGGTGGGGTTATGGATCCGATGTTTCTAAATGTGCCTTATCGGGCGTATCTGGAGTTCTTCAGTGGGCAGTGCTCTGAACACAGGGCATTTGTTTCTCTTTAAGAAGTCTGCACACTACTCAGCGGCCTTATGATTTAATAAAAGAAATGTTAATGAACTACATGTCTCGTGTGTTTTGTGACTGGTGTTTTTTAGAGATTTGTGGAGGTCTTATTTTATAGGACCTCATTGATTTTTTTTTAATGACAGTTACAGTTACTTTGCTTTTGAGATATTACATCGGCCATTAGAAAACCTATATCGGTTGACCTCTATAAACCTTATCGTAAGATGCAATCATTTAACAGTCAACAAGAACTAACAATATTTATCCCTCTTAAAGGAATAATTGAACCAAAAATAAAAATTTGGTCATCCAAGATGTAGAGAAGTTTTTGGTCATCAGAAGAGATTTGGAGAAATTTAGCATTACGTCACTTGCTCACCAATGGATCCTCTGTAGTGAATGGGTGCCGTCAGAATGAGAGTTCAAACAGCTGATAAAAACATCACAATAATCATCATGGAACCACACGATGTCCATGAGTTAACGTGCTTTTGTAAGAATCAAATCCAATAAGACATTTTTACCTTCAATCCATTGCATGTCTGAAATATGTGTATAATCCATAATATTGCTTTCTCCAGTGAAAAAGATGCCTGGTCTGAATCAGGAGAGAAACATGCAGACTGAGCACAGTTTACAACTGAAGTAAGCAAGTAAGTAATATTTATTTCTATAGCACCTTTCAAGAGCAAGTGTCACAAAGTGCTTTACAACAAAATTGTAAAATGAAGAATAAAAATAGACATGACAATAATAAAAAAAAAAGCAAATTGGACAAAAGCAAGTTTGAACAAGTGAGTTTTCAGCTGCTTTTTAAAAATGTCCACAGATCTCAGTTTCAGAGGAAGAGCATTCCACAACTTGGGAGCAACTACTTTACTTTACTACTACAAAGGACTAGGGACAGTGGGGAGGACTTTGCTACATTTCTCCAAATCTCCTCTGATGAAGAAACAAACTCATCTCTGATGGCCTGAGGGTGAGTGAACTTTAAACAATTTTTAATTTTTTGGGTAAACTATTCCTTTAATGCTAATATTAAGAAATGAGACCTTATCTAAAGTGTTACCTACATTTTAAAATACACAGACAGTCTTTGGGCTCCATTGACTATCATTTCATGGACATGACTCCCACAAATATATATTTTCAAAATATTTTCTTTCTTTTCTCTGGAACAGCATGAGGGTGAGTAAATGACAGAATTTTCATTTTTGGGTGGATTTGTCTCTTTAAAAAAGTTGTATAATTAAAAATCGTTTGCACCAAATAAATAAAAACAGTTGTCAGAATAATCAGACAATGACACAGGTGTGCAAAGAAACACTTTAATCTTTATTACTCATTAAACGACTTATATTAACCAATAAATACAAAAGAGGAAACGGCATGCAGCTGACAGATCGTTGCTGTCATCTTGCACAACACAAGTTAAGGCATTGAAATTTTCCTGACACTGCTGTACCTGGTGTAACATTGATCACGAAAAACCTGGCCGACGTCACTACTACTTCACCAGAGCGAATGGTTAATAAGCTGTTTGTCTGATAATAGCGTCATCTACTCGTGCTCACCAGCAGCAAGTCTCTCAGAGTTCGTTACGGTTTTCACATATGGCTTGATTTGTTGCTTTTTCCTCCTACAAACCGGCTAAGTTAGTGCACTCTAATCTGCCTCAGTGTTTCATAAATTAAGGATGAGACAACGGTCTCATGTAACAGCTCAATGATCTATAGGTTCCCGGTGGATCCTGTGCGTGTATCTTAAGTGTTCTTGATACGTCCCCAGTGCTTTGCAATGATCGCCAGGATCTTCTTACAAAAATTATTTTGATGCAAATACAAATCATATCAAATTGACTGTACTTAGCAATTAACATACATAAAAAACCAAATGAAGTGTCCCTTCATGTGACGTGTAACATTACAGTACTTTGTCTAGATATACCTAATGGGATGTAGACACTATATGGGATTCACAACACGGTGGATTCAAGTGTATCAAAAAAAACAAGTCACTCAGGAAGTATGAAATTCTGTACAACCCCAAGATTGCATATGTTGTCTCATCACTTCTGTATCTTCATGTCTCTCTTCTAGCTTTCTTCTTTTTGACTGGTTGTTTCGGAGACTCCCTGCTGTCATCTGCTTTTTCTGGTGGAGAAAAATAAAGACCTGAAATCAGTTTCTACAGGTTTTATGAAGGTAAATATAAGACTTTTAAAGGAAATAACTTTTACTGTACCTACTAATCACATTCTTTATTACGATTTTTGTCTTGTTTTCCAGTACAAATGTCTTAAGATTCATAAATCAAGATACATTTACTTGAGATACAAAATGGCACGAGATGTCTTGTTTTCTGAGAAATGTATTCAAATGAAGTGAGTTTATGATTAAAACAAGACTTCATATCTTCATTTGAAATGTATCTTGATTTAGGGATGTTTGCAGATATTTGTACTGGAAAACAAGCCAAAAACTCAGATGATGATATTCATTTTAACAATGCATGCAACATTTAATGCCATGATGCCTTTGTGTATTTAAGATTTAAGAACAATGCATGCATCATTTAATGCCATGGTGCCTTTATGTATTTAAGAACAATGCATGCATTATTTAATGCCATGGTGCCTTTATGTATTTAAGATTTAAGAACAATGCATGCATTATTTAATGCCATGGTGCCTTTATGTATTTAAGATTTAAGAACAATGCATGCATTATTTAATGCCATGGTGCCTTTATGTATTTAAGATTTAAGAACAATGCATGCATTATTTAATGCCATGGTGCCTTTATGTATTAACGATGTTCTAATCCGATTTAAGACCTTTTAAATGCCTTAATTTGTGTAAGGGCAATATAAGATTTTTTATAACCTGCAGAAACCCAATGAAATGAATGATCTTCCAACTTAAAGTCTATATGGTGTTTGAACGTACTTTGTGTTGGTACAGGAGTGGATCTGTCAGTCGGCTCAGGTCCAGTCATTCTCCGTTGCGTCTGCGCTGGAGCTGATGGTACGGCACGTGCCGTGTCGTCTACACGTGGCTGTTGAGAAGTCGACACAAACCTAGGACCTTGTTTTATTGCTAATAGCCAATGAATGTTGAAAAACATCTCTCACCCCTGCTGTGGCAGCTGAGATGTTTCCCGCTGCACTCTGTGCCGGTGTTGCAACAACGCTCGTGTCTCTCTCAGCTTTCACCTGCGGCTGAATATGATGCATGTATTCTGCGTTAGGTTTGAAGTAACAGATCAGTTATTTGGAAATGACTTCTGGTAATATCCTCACCTGAGCAGAAGGTCCAGCATTCTCCATCTTCTTCTTCTTCTTTTTCTTCTTCTTAGCTTTACCGCTGCCAGGGGCGACTGCTTCGTCTTTATCTTTCTCGTTATCGGACTCCTGTAGAAAGGAAAGAAATGAAATATCAGCGGTTTTCATTTTTGGCTCGACTACTTGGTCAAAGGAACTAAAAGAATAGTTCACCTCAAAATTAAAATTCTGTCATCATTTATTCACCCTCGAGGTGTTTCAAACCTATATTAATTCATTTCAGCTGCTGAACACAAAAAGACGATTGTTTGAAGAATTCTGGTAACCAAACAGTTGACTTTAGCCATCGACTTCCATAGTATGGAAAAAAGCACTTTTGAAGTCAATGGCTATCTTTGTGTTCGACAGAAAAAAGCCATGGAGACTTACATGTTAAAGATCACAATTTCCATTTTTGGGTGGACTATCCCTTTAACATTTCAAAGTTTCACATATTCACAGTCCTCTGATGTCAGTTAATGGTCACATGACATGCAGGTAAACAAAATATTTCATCTTTTTTTTTTTTTTTTTTTTTTTAAAGAAGTGTTTCGTTTTATTTTAAAATTATTTAAATTTTCCATTTTTATTATTTCCCTCAACTCACAAACCCAGTTTAGGAAAATTCTGTTGTCATTTTACTACTTGCTTTATTATTTGCATCACCTAATCTTTTTCTCTAATCAACCAATATTTCTTCTTAATGTAGAAACACATCCTGGATTCTCAACCCAGGTCAGAACCTGATTTCGATTTGCTCTCATTCATTCAGAGAGGTAAAAATGAGTGCATTTTCACAAGCCCACAGCTGCATGACAGACTGACCCGTGCCACTTTCGGGACCAACGGCTCCAGCGGCGCTGCGCTCACAGGCTGTTGCTCAACATAGTTCCCCCACTCCTCTGACGGAGCGTTCCAGTCACATGATAGATCTGCAGATGTGCTGTCTTAGGAACACAACAGCAACTCTTAGTAAGTCTGTGACTAAATTTGTGAGTCAGAAAAGGTTTTGGGCAAGTATAGATTTTCTTACTTATTCCAGACCACTCGTCATCCAGTGGCACAGGAGGCTGAGCACTCCAACTCAGGTCAGGCACTGCAAACACAGAGGACTACATGCTTTATCTTCATGGATCTAGTTTTTACACTGAGATGTGATAGATCATGGTGCAAGTGGTACAGAGAAACAGTTCCTGGCTGAATATGAGCAAATCTAGTTTAGTTATGCATTAATTTCATGAATTCTGAATAAATTACCAGCAGTCAAGCCACTGAATGAAGCTGGAATATGAGATCCATCCACAATAGTCCATGAGCCTGTATTAAGAAAAACAAACAAAAAATATTATATACACATATGCCTATGCACACTAAAGCTGAATTTATTTGATCAAAAAAAAAAAAAAAACATTACTCTTGTGAAATATTATTACAAATTTAAATAACCGTCTTGTATTTGAATATATTTTAAAATGTAATTTATTCATGTGATGACAAAGCTGAAATTTTAGCATCATTACTCCTTCAGAAATCATTCTTATATGCTGATTTGGTGCTCAGGGAGCATTTCTTATTATCAATGCTGAAAGCAGTTGTGCTGCTTAATATTTTGTGTGAAAGTTTTTTTCAAGACTCTTTTTGATGAATACAAAAAGTTCAAAAGAACAGCATTTATTTGAAATAGAAATCTTTTGTACCATTATAAACGTCTAAACTGTCACTTTTGATTA